CGAAGAGAGAGGGTGCAAATGGGCTCTGAGCGGAAAGGCCGGGAAAGGGGGCTCGCAGGCTATTCGAGGGGTGAGAGGAAACGCGACACAGTGCGCACAGGCTCGGAGGTGGCGTGGACGCGGCCGGAGAAGGCAGAGGAGAGAGGGATGGGGGCCAGGTGAGGAGGGACTGGGGCGGCTCGCTCAGGAGTTAAAATCTTGAGGGATTCAGGGTTTTATATGCATTTTTTCACATATATATTTTATTTTATGTTTTTAATTTAAATTCCATGTCCCATGTACCGTATACAAACGCATACATGAAGCACATGCAGCCATGACACATGATCATACAGTGTCTGCCCACGAACACTCCATCCCAGGTGAGCACACAAGTCCCAGCGCAGACGCTCCGCCCGCACCCGCCTCTCACGAAGGCCGGCGGAGCCCCCCCATCGTTTGGTCCCGTGCTGGAGTCGCCCTTTTGGAACCCTGCCCGGCCTCCCTTATCGGCCGGCGCCCGATCTGCCGGTCCGTGGATTCTTCTCGCCGAGCGTTTCTCCTGATTATCCACCTTCCGTCTGGTCCCTCGAGAACGAGGGTCCGTGAGAGTTTGCAGGGACTCAGAAAAGACTCAGAGAGAAGAAAAGAGCAGAGATGTAAACCCAAGTCGGTTTCTCTCTGCATCGGTCCCCGGAGAGGCCCGTTCAAGGCCAGGGACTGTGAGAGAGGCCACCGGGTCACAGAATGGGGGGAGCGGGCACCATGAGATCCCTGACCGCGGGGTACGCTCCCCAGGCTGTGGGTTGGCAACTGATCACGTGTCACCTGTGCCCGGTTAGAACAGTACGTGACTAGTTTGTGCTTGGGCCACAATCCCACCTCTGCTGGGGGGACAGAGGAGGCGGCCGAGACTGGCAGGGGCCCTGCACCATCCCTGCTACCGTCACCCGTTCTTGAACGACATTTTGAGCGCTGGCTCTGTGTCAGGTGCCTGCGCGGCACGGAGGGTGTGAGACCCAGTCTGCCCTCGTGGGACTTCTGTTTGGAGAGCAGGGGAGTCAAACATTAAACAAGACGTCAACATACTGTGACGGGTTCTGATAAGTGCTCTGACCGAAGGAAAGGGAGTGGGAGTGGGAGTGGGGCGCCAGCTTGGGGAAGAGGGGGACCCCCCCTGCAGGTGTCAGGGTCATTGCCAGCCTGGACCTCCCCGACGAGCCCCCTCACTCGGGCTCAGGACGGAAGAGTTGCCCTCCCCCAGCCCAGACAGACAAACAGACAATAAGCCTCTCTCTTACCCTGGAACCTCGGTTGTTCAACAAGCTCTGGGGGCGCTAGAAGCCCCTCCGAGCTGCCAAAGCCCCGAGTCACCTGCAAAGGGAAACGGAATGTGCCGTCCTCCTTCCTTCTGCTACCACCGCCCCCACCGCCCCCCCCACTGCAGGCTGTCACCAGCCCCAGGCCTGGCTGGGCACTAGCCTTGGGGTTTGGAAAGTGAACAGTTACAGCTACTGTTGAATCGTATCCCGCTCCAAATCCTACGCTGGGCCTAGTACGTGACTGCATTTGGAGACAAGGACTCTAAATGGGTAGTGAGGTCATGTGGGTGGGCCCTAGTCCAATAGCGCTGGTCCCCTTAGACCAGCGGTTCTCAACCTGTGGGTCGTGACCCCCTTTGGGGGTCGAACGACCCTTTCACAGGGGTTGCCTAAGACCATCGGAAAACACATATATAATTACATATTGTTTTTGTGATTAATCACTATGCTTTAATTATGTTCAATTTGTAACAATGAAATTGGGGGTCACCACAACATGAGGAACTGTATTAAAGGGTCGCGGCATTAGGAAGGTTGAGAACCGCTGCCTTAGCCAAAGAGGTTAGGGCACAAGCACACAGACGGAGGGACAGCCATCTGCAATCCGAGGAGAGAGGCCTCGGGGAAAGGACCCTGCCGCACCGTGACCCTGGACTTCCCGCCCTCAGAACCGTGAGACATTCACCGTCTGTTGTTTCATGTCTGTAACAGCCCGAGCGAGCGGACACGTCCTCCTGGTTGATTGACAGACAGGAGCTGAGGCTGGGGTGGGGAGGAGGGAGATGGTGCACTTGCCTCAGGCTGGGAGGCTGGGAACAGGGCCCAGATCTGATGCCCAGGGTCGCTGCCCAGCTGGTTTTTCCACCTTTGCCCCCGCCCCCCATCCCCCGTCTGCATATAGATTTTTCTACCTGAACACACTTCGGATCGAATTTCCCCACACAAAGCAGCCTGGCTCCACCCACTCAGAAAGATCTGAACACACTTCCTGGTCAGTGCTTCTCACACCTCAGTGTGCGTCAGAGTCACCGGGACGGGGTGGGCGTTAGGTGAAGGTTCCTGGGCCCTGAGATCCCCCCTCACCCTGTGCATTTCTAACAAGATTTTAGCTGATGCTGATGCTGATGCTGGTGCTGATGCTGGTGCCGCCCTTGCCTGGAAGCTGAGATGCCTTCCCCTCCCCCACGGCCCATGCACTCGCCCTCCTTCAACACAGCCCTGGCCCTTCCCCGGCACCCGCTGCACTTGAGCCTCTGCCCAGCCCGGTGCTGCCATGAATTCCCTGCTGCCGAGTCTGACCCTGGGCAGATCCCGGGACCTCCCAACTCAGGGTAAAGGTGAACGGCTGTGCTGCTTTTTACAGGGAAAGCCTTGCTGGGATTCAAACCATAACTGGACCGCCTCTGTCTAAAGCAGCGGTTCTCAACCTGTGGGTCGAGACCCCTTTGGCGGCCGAACGACGCTTTCACAGGGGTCGCCTAAGCCCATCCTGCATATCAGAAATTTACAATACCATTCATAACAGTAGCAACATTACAGTTAAGAAGTAGCAACGAAGATAATTTTATGGTTGGGTCACAACATGAGGAACTGTATTTAAAGGGCCAGAAGGTTGAGAACCACTGTTCTAAAGGGTCATGGGGGAGCTTGATGAAAATGCAGGTGTCTGAGTGCACCCCCAGACACAGACCTCCCCGGGACACACACACACACACACACACACACACACACACACACACACGGCTACATACAGACGACTGGAGGCCAGCACGCAGCACGGTGACTGAGCGAGAACCCAGGTCCCCTTGGGCGCGCTGTGCCTCTCACTGTGCCACGCTGCCTTTTCTGAGCTTAAAGGGGGCCCTCCTCCCTTCCTGCCCCTTTCTCACCCCTCCCCCACTTTCTTGAGGCACCAGCTGGGCCCTGGCATTTCCAGCCGATGCTGAAACGGAGCCCCAGGGAACGATACAACTTTCAAAACAGAAAAATGGAGAAAAGGGCAAGGGCACGGGGGCGGGGGGGGGAGAGAGGAGAACCCCTTGTGGGGAGCACGGGAGGGGAGGAGGGAATGGGAAGCCAGGCCAAGGTGCCCAGGAAGCTCAGGGGGCTGGCCTGGAAACCACAACCCCCCTGGCCCCCAGGAGCCAGCCTCTGCCCCTTCACCCCGCTCTGCTCTGTGACAGCTGGCCCGGTGCTGCAGGCCCAGAGGGGCAGCCGGTCAGTCGGTTGGTGAGTTAATGTGAGTTTCCTACGGGGAGCTGGGGGCGGGGCCACCAGCCTGCCTCTGACCCGGGAGGGCTCAGGGGGCCGGCCTGGAAACCACAACCCCCCTGGCCCCCAGGAGCCAGCCTCTGCCCCTTCACCCCGCTCTGCTCTGCGACAGCTGGCCCGGTGCTGCAGGCCCAGAGGGGCAGCCGGTCAGTCGGTTGGTGAGTTAATGTGAGTTTCCTACCTGGACAGCCCAGTCCAGCTGGTGGGGCTAGGGCGCGGGTGTGGCACCCGGAGTGGGTGGCCCATGCCCTCCCAGGCCAGCTCCCAGCAGCGTTAGGACCAGCAGCTGGACACGCTGCCTCAGGGCTTAGGATCCCAGCTGGGAAGGTGAGTCAGCCAGCGGGCCGGGCTCCTGGAATCGGGACCAGCGGCTCCCGTTGGAGGCGCCCAACCACCCATGTCACCGGCAGAAAAACTGGACCCGCTTCCTGACACCTTCATCCTGCAGCCGCCCGTCTTCCACCCGGTGAGCAGCCGCCTCCCATCCGGCTGGGCCAGCCTCCAGGTGGTGGGAGGGAGGGATGCAGCCCTGGCCGGCGGCTTCCCCAGTACCTGTCCTCCTGAGCTTAGCACAGTGCTGGCCAGCTGTTCCCACTTGGGTGTGAGTGACTGTTTCGCTTGCATTTAAAAAGCAGTAGAGCTGTGAGTAGGAGCATCTGGGGGAGTGGGTGACCAGGAGGGCCTGGGGGAGTGGGTAGTATCGTTGGGGGGACGTTGGGGGGACCCTGAGCACCTGGCAGGGGGCTTCCTGGCTGCCTCCTCCCGCTGTGTCCCTGAGGATTTGCGGGAGCCTGGCAGTGCTTTGGAAGGCTGAGCCCGCAGGCGACGGCACCCTCCACTGAGGGGCAGCACTGAGCCCTTTCTCTTCACGTGGCCTCCTCTCACAAGAGCCGCCGCAGCTGTTACTCACAGGCCGAGCCTGGAGCCTGGGGAGTGGAGGGACGTGGAGCTCAGCCCAGCTGAGCTGTGGGTGCTCTGGCCTCCGGACCCCCCGCATCTCTCCAGGCCCTAGTAGCAGGGGGAAGCGGCTGCCCCCCGCTACAGCCCCTCCTTGCTTTCCAGGCTGCAGCTCCCACCCGGCGGGCAGAGCCGTGGGATCTGGGCTCCGTCTGGGTCAGCGGCCGCCAACCGGTGGTCCGTGAGGTCCGGAAGGCTGGCGACCGCTGGTCCAGGTGGTTGGGGCTCCTGGAGGCTGCTGGGGGTGGAGAAACCGCGCGAAGGCTGGTCCCCTGGCTGCCTCCTCCCGCTGTGTCCCTGAGGATTTGCGGGAGCCTGGCCGTGCTTTGCGGAAGGCTGAGCCCGCAGGCGACGGCACCCTCCACTGAGGGGCAGCAGTGAGCCCTTTCTCTTCACGTGGCCTCTTCTCTCACAAGAGCCGCAGCAGCTGTTACTCACAGGCTGAGCCTGGAGCCTGGGGAGTGGAGGGACGTGGAGCTCAGCCCAGCCGAGCTGTGGGTGCTCTGGCCTCCGGACCCCCTGAATCTCTCCAGGCCCTAGTAGCAGGGGGAAGCCGCTGCCCCCCGCTACAGCCCCTCCTTGCTTTCCAGGCTGCAGCTCCCACCCGGCGGGCAGAGCCGTGGGATCTGGGCTCCGTCTGGGTCAGCGGCCGCCAACCGGTGGTCCGTGAGGTCCGGAAGGCTGGCGACCGCTGGTCCAGGTGGTTGGGGCTCCTGGAGGCTGCTGGGGGTGGAGAAACCGCGCGAAGGCTGGTCCTGTGACCCCGCCCGCTGTGTGCCTGCCGCAGACACCTGTTCAGAGCCCACGCTGTGCCAGACCGGGCACTGCGCCTACAGAAGGGAGAGGCGGGGCTGCGGCTTTGATGCCGAGCTGTGGGTGCTCTGGCCTCCGGACCCCCTGAATCTCTCCAGGCCCTAGTAGCAGGGGGAAGCCGCTGCCCCCCGCTACAGCCCCTCCTTGCTTTCCAGGCTGCAGCTCCCACCCGGCGGGCAGAGCCGTGGGATCTGGGCTCCGTCTGGGTCAGCGGCCGCCAACCGGTGGTCCGTGAGGTCGAGCCAGCCGGCAAGGGCCACGCTCGCCAAACCAGCCTAGTGTTCTGGAGCACGGGGAGGGGAGAAACAATCCCGACACTAAAGGGTTGGTGCTGGAGAAGGAGCCAGAGAAGCTGTCAGAGCAGATGTCAGGAGCCTCGAAGGTCAAGGTCCCGGGGCGCAGGGAGAGGGAGGAGACAGCCCGGAGAAGGCAGGAGCTGTGAAGAGTGTGTTGTGTTTTATGGCTGCCAGGCAGCTTCAGGCCATTGTCAGGCACCTGTCCAGGCGTCCAGATCAGGGGCCACGCTCAGGTCCCCACCTGTCCATCCTCCTGCCTCCCAGGTCCCAGGCTCTGGCCAGGGAACAGTCCTCAGGGAGCCTCACTG